GGCTAGTAAAGCGACCAAAACCCTGGCTTACATCCGTAGATGCTTCTCAAGCAGATCCTGGGACGTCATTCTCCCCTTGTACTCGGCCTTGGTGAGGCCGCAGCTGGAGTACTGTGTCCAGTTTTGGGCTCCACAATTCAAAAAGGATGTGGAGAAGCTTGAGAGAGTCCAGAGAAGAGCCACGCGCATGATCAGAGGTCAGGGAAGCAGACCCTACGATGACAGGCTGAGAGCCCTGGGGCTCTTTAGCCTGGAAAAGCGCAGGCTCAGGGGTGATCTGATGGCCACCTACAAGTTTATCAGGGGTGACCACCAGTATCTGGGGGAACGTTTGTTCACCAGAGCGCCCCAAGGGATGACGAGGTCAAATGGTCACAAACTACTACAAGATCGTTTCAGGCTGGACATAAGGAAGAATTTCTTTACTGTTCGAGCCCCCAAGGTCTGGAACAGCCTGCCACCGGAGGTGGTTCAAACGCCTTCATTGAACACCTTCAGGTCGAAACTGGATGCTTATCTTGCTGGGATCCTATGACCCCAGCTGACTTCCTGCCCTTTGGGCAGGGGGCTGGACTCGATGATCTTCCGAGGTCCCTTCCAGCCCTAATATCTATGAAAAAAAACATTATATAAAGAGATTGATGCATTTCAATGGCAAAATTCTGTGAAAGAAAATAATACTAACTTTAACAAGAAGTATCATTTTAGATTACCAGTGATAGTGACATTTCTTAAGTTCTTAAGTTTTTGAAGATATTTGTGAGAAGAGGCATTTGGCCCTTTTAAGGAATTGCATCAGGACTGGGGTCATTCTAAAGAATAAAGAGTTATAAAGTGTAATACCATATTTTATTGCATACCACATGCCCCCAAATAAGACACAAACCGTGTTTTGGGAAAGACAGAAGTGTGGGGGGGGATTTTTCCAGAATCAGGGCTGAATACAGGCTGCATGGAGGACGGTCAGAGTTCACTCTTCAGTGTCACTCATTCTTTCCTTGCAAGCTGCATAGCTCAAGTTTTAACCCTCTCCCAACTTCTGCCAAATTTGTTCCTGATTCATGTGGCCCCTGGCATTGGTGCACATGGGTCCACATGCACCCCCTGAGATTGGCTGTGCCCCTTCCCCCCAGTGAAAAGCTGGTGGCAGCGATTAGCTGCTGGGGTAAGGGGGTGGGGCTAACAGGGCTCAGCCCCCCCAAACACCCGAGCAACCCAGCTGCAGGCTGCTGCAGCAGGGGGGAGGGGCATGCTGGGCTTGCAGCCGGCCCAGCAGAGCAGGCAGGTAGGTAGGTAGGTAAGGTTTCTTTTCTTCCTTTAGTTTCTGGCCTTGGGGGACATGGGGGAAATCAAGACCCCCATAGTGCAGGAGGGAGCAGGGTAGGGGCAGGGCCAAATCATTCACCCCCTTCCGTGCCCCATTCCCTGCTGCACTGTGGGGATTCTCCCATGACCCAGCTTGGCTGGGGCCCCGTTCACGGAGAATGAGGTCCCAGCCAGGTCAGGTCATGGGGCAATTGGATCCCAGTGGCTCCTGTCACTGTGCACAGTGTGGGGGAGCTGGGGGTGGGGAGCATGTTCCCCCAGCCCCTTGGATCCAATGCTTTGCAGCCCTGGATGAGCCACTGGGCTCTGATCACCACACGACCCAGCCTGATCAGGGCCCCATTCACAGTGAATGGAGCCCTGGGCGGGCTGGGTCATGGGACAAACAGAGCCTGGAGGCTCCTGCAGTCATAGCGCTGGGGAGCCAAGGGGGGCATGTTTCTCCACCCCCCCCTCCCGATCTTTGTATGGGGAAGGGTAGGCTGCAGCTGTGAAGTGAGCTGGGCTCTGCCTGCTCCATGCCTCGCTGCAGCCTTTGAAAGGGGTGCAGCACAGTGCCATATGCCTCGCTGCCCGGCCTGCCCAGCAGCAGGGACGCACATGGTCCCTGCAAATGTTTTTTCTCCCTCTGCCCTGGTCAGCAATCAGCCACAGGTCACCCCACAGTATTAGGAGGCACCAGTCACCCGTGGTCCCTGGCAACCATTCCAGCATCCCTATGCCTCCAGTCTGGTGTGGAAATTATTTTGTTCTCTTAAAACACCACCCCAATTTTGCATTGGTAATGTTCGTGGAAAATTTGGGGGAAACTCGCTTGTGGCATATGAGTAAATGTTATTTACAGTTCCATATCAGTTACAAATGTTAGCTAGATCCTTAGTTCTGGTCCAATCCCTATAGCTCTGCAACT